CAAATTGAAAAGGGCATTTGAAGTACATAGAAAGATTAAACTGTTATCAACTCTGACTAGCAGGGGCTTTCCTTTCTAAGATCTATCTGGAGATCACTAGGGTTCCCTGTAGTCTCTCTTTCACATAGTAACCAGGCCTGATCTTATTTAGCATCTAATATCAGATGTTATTGGGAATTTTCAATATAGTGTAGTGGTAGATTAAGGATCTCTTCTTGTTGTTGTTTATTCGTTCAGTCGCTTCCAACTTTTTGTCACCTCATGGACCAGCCCATACCAGAGCTCCCTGTCAGCCATCACCACCCCCAGCTCCTTCAAGGTCAATCCAGTCACTTCACTTCAAGGATGCCATCCATCCATTGTGCCCTTGGTCGCCCGCTCTTCCTTTTTCCTTCCTTTTTTCCCAGCATCATTCTCTTCTCTAAGCATTCCTGTCTTCTCAAGATGTGGCCAAAGTACTTCATCTTTCGCTCTACTATCCTTCCCTCCAATGAGCAGTCAGGTTTTATTTCCTGAAGTATGGACTGGTTGGATCTTCTTGCGGTCCAAGGCATTCTCAGAATTTTCCTCCAACACCACAGATCAGAAGCATTTATCTTCCTTCACTCAGCCTTCCTTATGGTCCAGCTCTCACATCCGTAGATTACTACAGGGAATACCATTGCTTTAACTATGCGAATCTTCATTGCTAGTGTGATGTGACTACTCTTCACTATTTTATCAAGATTGGTCATTGCTCTCCTCCCAAGAAGTAAATGTCTTCTGATTTCCTGGCTGCAGCCTGCATCTGCAGTCATCTTTGCACCTAAAACTACAAAGTCTGTCACTGTCTCCACATTTTCTCCTTTTGCCAGTCCAGTTGCCATAATCTTGGGGTTTTTTTTAATGTTTGACTACATCCAGCTTTTGCACTTTCTTCTTTCACCTTGATTAGAAGGTTCCTCAGCTTCTCCTGGCTTTCAGCCATCAAAGTGGTATAATCTGAATATCTAAGGTTGTTAATGTTTCTTCCAGCAATTTGAACTCCAGCCTTGGATTTGTCAAACTCCGCACATCACATGATGTGTTCTGCATACAAGTTGAATAGATTGGGTGAGGATCTTAATATCAGGGAAATGTTTATGGGAATTATTAGGCCTTTGAATACCAAGATTCCAGTCAATCTATCACCGATCAGTCCATCAGGCTATTCATTTCATTTATTTGGAGCTGAAGGATGAGATAGGAACTGCAAAATTCAAAAGTATTTCTGCACACACACACAAATACTTCCCACCAGAAAAATCATCCTGATTAACATACCCAATGTCTACCAAAATTTACCTAGATGAAAAGCTGCATTTAGGCGATGCCATGGCTGACATGAATGCTGCTATTGTTTTACTCTGTGGATTATGAACCTTACAAAATGCATGTAGCTGGTACTTTTTTGATCCAGTTCACTAAAGCCCTATGTGAAATACAAGGTGACCAACTCTTATTGGATGTAGCAGTATTTATACTGTTACTTTGGATAGTTGTTGCAATAAATGTGCAGGAATTCTTCTTGTTCTACATTGAAAACCACAATGGCATTGCAAAATGGTGAGTCGTTTCACTTTTGAATTGGTTACACAGATTGGGAAATGAAAGTGACAGTGTAAAGTATCAGATCTATAGGTGTTATAAATGTAAATGAACTCCCCTTGAATTGTGTTCTCAGAAAGCAAACTAGTGAGGATATGTTCTTCCAACTGAACTGATTTTATCTAGGACCATGGATAAGAAGGTCCATGCCCAGTGAGGTTCTGCTATACCAGATGAGCAAGGACAGAGAACAAAGCACTCTGGATTGATGGCAAAATACAGAGGATTATTACAGTTTGATCACAATGGATGCAAGTATTAACCTGACACTCAAAATGTACAAATACAGCTTCATAGAAAAATGCAAGTTATTTTATACACTTTTGAAAGCTATTCAGACTTCCCATGCCTCCTCCTGTTTGGCTGAGAAATGGGCTGCCTAGGGTCCACACAGGTTTCTCTCACGTCAGTGACAGGAGGATAAGATCCCCATAGCAGGAAGAAGAAAAGCTTATTTTTAGTTGGTTAAAGATCTAGTCTGTTGCAGAGACACGTGGAGGGTGTGAAACTAAAGGAGATGATGATGTGGGCATGCAAATGATTCCTTGATTGATTTAAGTTTCCAGTTCTATGAAGACAAAGGTGCAAGACCCGGAGAAAAAAAGTGATAATACTGGTTGACCAGAAGCTTGGCTGCCCTTTCAGAAAACTAATATATTCGTATTTGTTTTAGCATTCTTTTCCATGGAAACTATAAGCCATTAGTAATATTTAAACAGGTAAACAGTGTCAACACAGAGCTGATGATAAAGGGATTATCTGCCTCATATCCACACACAAAGGAACTAATATCTGATTTGGGAGCCTGCTGGGGGACTTTCTTAATTGTTCAGCAATCTTCATTTCTAGAAGCTTATGTAAATAGAGGGGACTGGGGGAAGCAGATGCCTTCATAACATATTTGATGCTTCTGGGTCCTTCTGGAGTCTTCAGAAACTTTGATATGGTGACATTTTGAAAGATCAAAAAAAGGTTTTAAAAAAAGAAATATCACATCTCTTGCTTGAAGTCTCATTAATGTCCACAAATAATTTGAGAGGGTGTGTGTATGTTGTGGCTGCCATCTTTTGCACCACCAGAAGTTTCTAAAGAACCTAAGAGGCACACCTTGTGGTAGTAAGGAAGCTGCTTACCTAGTGCAAGAAATATTTTGGATTTCATAAAGTGATAAGTAAGAAATTATTATATAGTTGTCTATAAAAACATTTCAGAAGAATCATATTGTTTTATGCCCTGTTAGACCTGTTGCTGAGCAAGGATGAAATTTTTAAAAACATATTTGGGAAATTATCTAAAGTTTTTGTGCCTGTACTGAGCAATCAAGACTGTACTTGAATAATGCTATGCTGTCTTCTCTACCCTGAACTATCAAGACTGCCTTTGGGCAATGCTGTACCTTCTTTATAGGTGTCCATTTTGCTAATATAGAAAATATCTTGCCATGCAATGTAGTTGAAAATGTAATAATTTCCATTACTTTCATAAACCATTTCCAATATCTAATGTCTTATGTGCATTTAAGAATTTTTTTCCCTTCATTCTAAAAGCTAGGTAGCAATCCTATTCATGGAAGAATGAGTCACATTTGGCTCCTATCTTAAAACTTTTGCTTCGTAACATTTATTATTAATTCTTGAAATATTTTATTTTTAAGGTGCTTCTAAATTACTTGGTGTTGCAATGGTGTTGCAATACATCTTGTTTCTACTGTATATAATGGAAGTTATTTCTTTGGACTACATCAGAACTTTGAAAAGCAAATGTTTAAAATAGCTTTCAGATAGCCAATCCATAAGCCAATCAAATGGTTGCAGAATCTTGTAAAACAAGACTGAAAGGATTTATAGGTATTTTAATGTCATTGCTTGGTGTCTTTGAAACGTGTTACATATACCTGGATCCTAATCACTCATAAACATTTGTAAAGAGGAATCACTTATCTTGGAGTAGGTTTGTTTCCCAGATGGTCTTAAAGTGGCATATTCCAACCTCCAATTTCCTGGTAAGCTACAAATCAAAACAATGCTTTACTAGGAATCATATCAAACAAAGGAAATACTTCTTCATGACCAGTGTATAAACTATGGATTTCTTTTCCATAAGTTATTCTGGGGTTTGTACATAATCATGGAAGAAGAACTCTCCATGTTTATTGATTATAGCTATATGACTCCTATATCCATGGAATACCTGAGGTTTCACTTACTCACATCTATTCCAAAATAAGCATTTCTAGGACCTCCAGAGCAGTTCTGTGGTATGCGTCTGCTAGAAATTGAACACAGAGTTGCACTGGAGGACCTAGAAATGCAAGAAGGATGTTCTAGCATTTATGGGTCCTCCAGCACAGTTCTAGAGCATCCTTCCACTGGGAGTTGACCATAAAGTCACTCTGGAGGGCCTAGAAATGCTAAAGAAGTGCTCTTTGTACGCATTTTCTAGGTCCTTCAATGCAATTCTATAAATTTCATCTGCAAGAAGTGGTTCATTTTAACAGGGTTCTCTATTAATTATAGTTTCACATGTCCACAGTAAATTTAGGACTGTATCCCCCATATGGGAGTTGTATTGTATTAGTCATCATATTGAATTGCTTTAAAATAATATTAGATGATCTGATGTAGGATAAAGCTATCAATGAAGTAACCATTTGTAAAAGTTACTTTTTTTGGATTATAATTCCCACAATCTCACATATTTTCCTAAGATCTGTAATGGACTATATATAATATTTCCTATGCATCATATTTCCAAATGGACTTTCCTCCAATTTATGGTTCTTGACCTCTGTTTTAGAATTTTAAATGGAAGCTAATGCATTCTGAGACAGTCCCAAGATCTTCTTTAAAGATCCATTACTCAGTGGATCAATGTGCTGAGATAAGAAAGGTTGGTTTATCTCCTTGCCTAGCGCAAAGCACTTTCACTAGTGCATCCTTTGAATTTCTGTTGGAAAAGACTTCAATTCTCATTGCTAAGGACACATTGTTCCCTTTTGGATTGGGATATTATCTTGAGAAGGAATAAGTCACCTCTCTTCTCTGTTGAATGATAACGGCAGTTTAATCATTACTCTTTAGCTAAACGGAGCTTGCTGTGAAAGCAGGTATTTAAGATGGGATAAGAATCAGGCCATAAACTTTAATGGGGAATGAAGATAAATCTTCTAATGAGTTGAAAGAAAGAAGATGAGAAAATCAATGATGGCATTTTCCCCCAGATTTGCATTTCAAATGTTGGTAATTATATAAGTGAAGTGTGCATATGTATAAGATTATTCTAATGAAGGTGTTTGTGCTGAAGTCATACAAAGAACAAACATGCAAGATTGTAATTCCAGCAACATCTCTCCCACTGCCCCCTTCTTTCCTTAGGTAATCAGCTCAGATACAGGCTCTACTGTTATCTTCTGGCTGATTGATACTGGGCAGAAAATCAAAGAGTTTACTAGTTGTCATGGAAATGCAGATATCAACACTATGGCACTTGATGGGACTGAAACCAGGTTGTTCACTGGAGGAATGGATGGAATTGTAAAGGTATGTCTCCATGTGTGTGTTGAGGCAGGAGCTATTTCAATACTTCGCGTAGTTGGAAAGCTTACCTTTAAAACAACCTTGCCGAACACATTAAAAACTCTCTCACACAAAGCAGAACTTAGTTCTCTGGTTGTGATAGATCTTCACCATTTTTGAGTCATTGATCTTTTTGAGAATTTGAGAGAAGCTATGAAATCCTGCTTGAAAAATGAACATAAAGACCTTCCTTTTCATACAGTTAATTGTATCGTGGTAAAAATGTATTTCCTTTACATTGGGCCTTTTCATAGTCCACTATGATAGAAGTACAATAATGTTAACTATCACAATTATCAGCCTATGAATCCGTGCAATTTGCAATCTAAAGTGATATATTTAAAATTCTCTGCAAAGATAGGTACAAATGCCTCAAACTACAAACCCAATGATTCTGTAGGATATTGCCATGATAGTTAACATGTAATCAAATAACTGGGTCATAATTTGTCAGGAGAAAACATTACACTGAACAGTTGTGTGCCTTCAAGTCATTTGCAAGTTATGCCAACCATAAGATCAGCCTTGCATGGGTTAATTTTTTTGCAAGGTTTGTTCAAAGAGGGTTTGTCCTAGCTTTTATCTGAGACTGAGAAAGTGTGTGACTTTTCCAAGGTCACCCAGTGGGTTTCCATGACTGAGCAAGGATTCAAATTCTGGTCTCCAGAGTCATAGTCCAATGCTCAAACCACTGCACCATGCTGACTGAAAGATGAATATTTATCTTGACATTCATAATATTCAGAAAATCAAAGTAACTGGAAAAGCACAAAATAATTTTTCCAACTGGTTTATGGACTGACTAAAGGATATCCATAGAACCCTAGATTATGAATCTTTGGTTTATGTTGTGTACCATTGCCCCTGGTGATGCAATGGGATAAACACCTTTGCTGGCAGGACTGAAGACCGACAGTCACAATTTCGAATCTGGGGAAAGCATGAATGAGCTCCCTCTGTCAGCTCTGGCTCCCTGTGCTGGAACATGACAGAAGCCTCCCACAAGGATGGTAAAACATCAAAAAACATCCAGGTACCCCCAGGGCAACATCCTTGCAGATGGCCAATTCTCTCACACTAAAAGTGACTTACAGTTTCTCAAGTCGCTCCTGACATGAAAAAAGCATTTTCAAGACTAATGAATGCTTGTCTAATGTCTATTACATAGCAATAATTCATTTTTATTTTATTCACATAAAATAAACAGCTTTCCAAAAACACTGGCCCCAGGTTCGCAATAATGCTTTAAAGACATCTTCAAAGTTTTCTGCATTACCATGTGCCTATACATTTTCATTCCAGTGCCCTATTTCCAATGCTGAAAGTTTGTCAATTCCTACTCTATGCTCTTTTCCAGTTGCACATCTGTCAGCTTTCACATCATGCCATTTTTCCTAAGCTGCAAATTTTACATTTAGCTTCAAGCTAAGAAAAAACCCTGGGGCTCTGTGGAATTTTACTGGAATGGGAGTAAGGAAGATTTTCTTTGATTCTTTCTTCCACTCTACATAGTTCTCAAGCTGTTTCAGATGTTGAAGGCTGCAGAAAGGAAGGGGAAACAAAGATAATTGCTACTCTTTTAGTGGGAAGACACCAATGAATTGCAGTTGACTCTATCAGTGGAAGTGCTCTTCCTGTTGTGCCGGGACATGTCTAATATTCCTGAACGTTGTTAGGAATATTTTGGGTTTTTCTGCAGAAAATTAGTTACATAGTCCTATACTATACATCTCTCACTCTTTTATTTACATTCACCCCTGTGCTCCCCTTCTCCAGAGCCATCTCTTCTAAAGTTCCACCAAAAGCTCAATTCTTCACTTGGAGGTAAATTCCCATCTTCTTTATTCAATACCTTTTCTATTTTTTCTCTCCAAATACTTTCAAAGCCATTTTCCCATTAGCTTATTGTTCAGTGACATGTTTGAGACTTCTTTATACCATTCATTAATTTGTATTTTCATTTCTCCTTCCCAATATTTTGCAATTAATAATCTTCTGCAGATTAAAAAGCTGGAATCATCTCTGTGATGTTGTATCTTTTGATGGTCATCAATTTCTTGATGACAGTGGGAAGTGTTTAGAGGTGGAACCTGCTACTTGTATTTTGAATGAATTAAAGTTCTTTCTTGCTCTGAAATTCCTTTTGTTACTCTTGGGCCTGATGCTTTAAGAACTAGACAGAAGTGAAATTTTCATCCCAATTCATCAACAGTTTTCACTTCAAGAACAAACTTATTGCCCAGGACATATCTCTTCCATTAGTTTGATATTGTTTAGATATGATTTACTGTTTCTTTTACTCTGATCTCCTGTCCACCAACACATGAATAGGCTTATAAGATTAAAAACAATTCTTTGTCCAAAGAAACAACAATCCAACACATGTGAGCCAAGCCAAAGCCAAACAGTCCAATATCAGAGAAGTCCTTTGAATTCTAGAAGTCATTTGAAGTCAAACCAGAATAATAACAAAGTCAGGTCTGAGGCCAGAACCACAAAGTACAAATGTGCATTGGAACTGATCAGATCAATGATGTTGTCCGCAACTGTAATGACTAGATTTATAGTTCTGAGTCAAGGTCTTAGCTGCTGCCTAATTATTGAGCATATTCCATAAAACCAAAGAGGTCTATAAATTCTCACTCTCTGCATTTGCCTCTGTAAGGGTGTGGGTATGTTTAACCCTCCTGGAGGTTGCTGAGAAGTGGTTGCTTCAGGTTCACTCACTGGAACTTACACAAGCTGCTGTGAGGTGCTTGCTTCAGCTATGGGCACTTCCATCTGCTCAGTTTCATCACTGACAGGGCTGGGCATGACAGGTTGCTCGAAGTTTCTCACATCCATCTCCCCCCCTGGCACATCTGGCTGCTCTTTCTCCTTGGTGTCTGAACAGGGCATGACACCTGGAAGCAGTAGTCCACAAGAAATATTTCCCAGCTGTGGAGCACTGAATTCCTGTTGATTCTGATCCATCAGAAACTCTCTAAGATGCATATAGCAATATGTTTATATCCACTTTGGCTAGTAAGGGATATCAAGGAGACAAGTAAAGCAGCACTATTAAGCTAGGCATAAAAATAAATTGCCATCCTTTATTTTCATATTGCCAGTTGTTCTTCTCTGCCAAAAGATTATTCCTAAATCATTATACCAAAAATAGATGAGCTATCAATGCCTTGCATCACTGACATGCAAATAAGCTAAACCATTCTCTCCACCGCAACAGACTCAACAAAGGAAACAGCTTGGCTCACACTTGGAAAAAACAAAACAAAACAAAACCGAATGCTTGCCCTCTGTTTTGGTAGTTGGGGATTACTTCTAAATCAGACAGATTTCTACTTGTCAAATGACATCTAGTAGGTGTAAGGAAATCTTGTTCAAAAACAATTTACATAAACTAAAAACACTTCTGTAATTGGGGGAAAGTCTATTTCCCATAGAGTAACCATAGGGAAGGTAGTTCACTGCAGGGGAAGAGGGTTATTATAGTTGCAGCAAGTTGTCATTTGGGCATTCTGGTGTTTGATGCATAGGAGAAGATTTTAATCCAGTGAAGACAAGAATTCATGGCTTTCTGCTTAGAGGTGTCATGAAGTTCACATCCAGGCTCAATCTGGCAAACATCATCACCATCTCAAAATTACCCTTTCGCACCTACTGAAAGATCTTTTCTTGTACAATCAATGAGTCACCACCTTCTTAGATCTTTTGAAGGACCCAATATATACTATTTGTGATATTTTCCATTAGTTTGAATGTACTATGAACACTTAGGATGACAAGAAACAAAAGTGATGTCCAACTGTACATATAAAATTGGGCATCACATATATGCTCAATTGTTATTGTGCAGGCTCTGTAAAATCACTGAAACAAACACATATATGTTCATTTTTGTATCCTGTGTTTGGCGTATATTTTTTAAAAAAATTATGCTATTATTATAATGTGTTTTGCTATTTCTATTTATACTGTATATAGTTTATGTTGATATGCTTTGACTTTGTTGTACATTGCCTTTGTTGTACACTGTTAGGAGATGCAGGTGACCAATACAATGTGTTGTTGTTGTTGTTGTTGTTGTTGTTGTTGTTGTTGTTGTTGTTGTTGTTACATGTTCCGCAAACCTTTTCATTGTGCATGGTTGAAACTTCTCTGCTCATAAAAACAAGGGCCAAGGATTTGTTCTATTTTTATTCTATAAAAACTTCATTAGAAAATGAGTGCATAGGCAGAGGTTAGGCAAGCCTATTACTTATTCAACAGAAGTAATTTCATTTTGGGATCAATGTAAAACCATCAGTATATTCCATTACCTGCTATCTGAACCTTTTAGCTGGATATGCCAGGGAATGAATTTTCCTGATATTTTCTACATGCAGGTCAGGGGCTTTATCACTGGGTTATGAATTGTCTTCTGTATTAAATAGGGCTATGATCAAGAGAGGAAAATCTTTGGCCTTGGACTCTAATTCCCATCTTTTTCTAGTCAATTAGGCCAAGAGTTAAAGATACATATTTCTGTAGCAATAATGCCCTGGAATGGGGGAGGTCAGTCATTGTCCTGTGGTCTATATAATAAGCATGGACTAACTGTTACAAATACCGTATAGTTCATTAGAAATGTTATATCTGCAATTACTGAAAATATTTTCTATCTCACAGTTGCTTGAAAATATTTCATTTTTTCTCCTGATTTGAACTGCAGGTTTGGGATTTCAATGGACACTGTCATCATAAACTCAATGTGGGAAGAGACCGAACTGTTGAAATCTCCCAGATTTTAGTGCTAAGCTGGACTATACTAGTCTTAGGAGGTGACAGGTAATGTCAGTTTTAAACTTAAAACAGGAGTGGGCAACATGTAGCTCACATTTGTTATTTACAGGCCCACCCCGTTGGTTCTCTGTAGTGGAGAGATTTTTCACCAAAAACTAATGTTTTCATTCTTGGGGGAATGTCAGCTTTTACGTAATGACCCTCCAAAAAGCCAACTTTCCAACAAGGCACATTTTGGGTATGTGTGGCTTTAATTTGTTGAACTTTATACCTTTTTATTGGAATGCCATATCTTTCCTGTCCAGACACTACCTCTGGTGGGTAATAATTTGGCCCCAGCCCTGCCAAACATGTCCACCTCCAATCTATGAAGCAGAAAAAGTCCATGAGATGTAAAAAGTACTTCTTGCTGCCCTTTTCTTTAGATAAAATCTCCTAATACTTATCTTTCAAGGCTGTCAGTTACTCAAAGGCTGCTTGATAACTGAATTTAAGAAAAGATTTAGCACAGTCTGTATGTCAGGTGAGAAAGGAATGACTATTCAAGAGTGTAGTGCAGCCGAAAAGGCTCTTATCTGTCTTGATCAGGGACACTATTTCGAATTTCACCACGGAAGGAAACAAGTTTCTCTATGAGGATTTAGAAGAAATATTCTTGGTTATATTCAAGGTTAAGAGAGCAATTCCAAAGGGAAGGACAACCCCTTGAACTGTCCAAGGTCCTGACTGACTTTTTTTTTGGCAGGGTAGAAGTAATGAAGGACTGAAGTAGTGTTAAATACAGAATGTACTCTTTCATAGGTCTTTTTGTTCTTGGTGAAAGGTCCAGAGAGCTAATCAATTTTTTTCCCTATGTTAGGCTGTATTAAAATTTAAAGAAGTTTGGATTCAGTTCACTTCCTTTCCTCAACTAGTATAGGCCAAGATGCAGTCCCTCTCCTTAAAGTCAGAACTCTCACTTTATGGAGTGGGCAAACTTCAGGGAAGGTTCTACTGCGGATTTGTGAGCCAGTGATGTCTGTAGCACTCACACTTGGGCTAGAAATGAATGTTTCCCAAACTCTAGCCCTCCAGGTGTTTGGACATCAGCTCTCAAAATCCCTGACCACTGGAAAAGGCAGTTGATGCTTCTGGGAGTTGAAGTCTAAAACACCTGGAGGAGTAGAGTTTAGGAATCACTAGACTAGATAGACAAATATTCTGACCTGGTTGAAGGCAACTTCCTGAGTCTTTTTCTGTATTTTGTTACTACATGATCTCACTCACACAAATATGGCTAGTTCACATGTGCCTGAACAAGATCTTTTGAGAGCATGTTGTGGTATGGCAGGATTTAAAACAGCCAAATGGGAAACAGTGGTAATGGATACAGAACAGAGACTGGAGTGTTCAGCTATGTGGTCTATTACAAAAATGTGTGAGAGCTACATTATGAACACTGAAATGAAACCAGCTTGTAATGTGCACCTGATAACTCTAAGTGCCACATTACAATTTTGGTAGCAGAGCTAAGGGAATAAATGGACTTATATCTCCAGGATTCCCTTGCTGTCTGGGGGATACTGGGAGCTATAGTAAAAAAATGTTCCCAAGCACACGTTGGTTGCAGTTCTTAAATTTTTTAGATTTTCGGATGCTTTTGCTTCATGTTTGTCTGCTGTTGAAAATGAAGAGAAGCATTACAATTTCCTGACAGGAAGAAAACAGGATGTGTATTTTTGTCACCAAGATGCTCTGCTAAGGAAGAAATTATGGCAGGACTTAATTAGAAACCCTTCTGTCCATAAATTTGAAATCTCAGACAACACATACAAGCTGTTTCTGCTATAGAGGCAAATTCATCAGTGTTGCTCAGTGTAAAAGTATGCTGAATTATGCTATTTTCCTCTTTAAACTATGCACATTTCTGACAGCTCAGAACTGTGAATCTACATACCTACAGTTGTCACTAGCTATAACAACAAGCTTGGAAGCAGGGGAGTTTAAGGAAGGTTTCTTTTAAAAAATAGATTGCTATCTCACCTCCCTTATCAGGCTTTCTGGGACTTTAGGCAACTAACTATGGAGTTGAATAAAACAAGCTAAAAATTTGCTTAAAGGGGTTTTTTTTCATATCATGAGTTACTTGAGAAACTGCAAGTCACTTCTGGTGTGAGAAAATTGGCTGTCTGCAAGGACATTGCCCAGGGGATGTCCAGATGTTTTACCATTTTGTAGGAGGCTTCTCTCATGTCCCCGCTTGAAGGTGATATGTAGCCAATCTGAATAGCTGCTTGTGGCCTCATAATCCATGAATGTATCATTTTAAAGCCCTCCAAGTAAAATAATGTCATTATGTATTGTGGCAGTGAGTTCCACAATTTAGTTACAATTTGTGTTTCCTTTTTTAGTCCTGAAGTTTTACAAGAGGACTAGTATTATGAGAAAGGGAGAGAAACTTAGTCCTATCTAATTTCTTTGCCATGCCCATAATTGTATATTTTCTAGTCTCCACTTTCTCCTCTGTTTTCTAAACTAAATACCTCTCAAGTATTGCAACATTCCCCTAAAAGAGGGCTGCTTCAGTTCTTTGATTATTTGGTTTACTCTTTTCTGCACCATTTACTATGATACCCCCTTTTTAAGTGTCATGACTGAACTGTATGAAATAGCCCTGATACAATCACACTATGGATTTGTATGATGACAGCTTTCATTTTAGTTCCTTTTCTCATTATGTCCAGCTAGAGAGCTTGGCTTTTTAAATGTCAGCTGCACACTCAGTTAACATTTCCCTTGACCTCTCTGACACAAGAACAAGTGCTTTTTTACTTTGGCTGCTTTCCAGTTCCCTTATACAGAAGCATGATGCATATTTCAGTTAAAAGATCAATGACTTCAAGCTAAGATTCCATTTTTGGGGATTTTTTTTGTGCCAGTATGAACCTCTTCATATTTACTTACTTTTTTGGTATTTAAGTATTATTTGCCAATTTACTGCTTTTCTCCCAGTTTGGAGAGGTCCATATGGGAATTCTTTTCAAACTAGTTTTGTTCTTGCCCACTCTAAATAATTTACAGTAGGCCCCAAAGAAGTGGGAAAAAATCCTGCAAATTTAAAAACTCAGATCAGCGCAATTCATTTGAAACCAGTTTAATATAGTTTTTCGATGGTATTTCAGTCACTAGTCTGTTTTGCACAAGCTGTAGCTTCCATGTTGTCCTCAAAGGCAGCCCCATGTAGAACAGTCTAATCATAATAGTCTAATTTGGAAAATATCAGGAAGTGCTCTTGTGCCGTTTGATGAACTCTGTGGGACTCAGTCTTTAAAATACCTTCAAAGTGTGTAGAAACAAGAGGAAATCAGCATCTGATGGAGTCCCTAGTAGCTTCATCAAGATAGTGGACCATATGGGAGATAAAATGGAATCTTACGACTGAACAGGAACCCCGTGACAATGCTCTCTGGAATCAGCCCTATAGATAAGAACCATTGCAACACCGTACTTTGTACTTATAGCCAATAGATCTAAAACACCATGCTCAAAAGTATCAAAAGTTGCAGAGAAATCTGAGAGGATTGACAGGGTAGCACTTCTGAAAGGCCCAGGGTAGATCAGCAGTCCACACAATTGATACAATTTCATGGTCTGGGTTGAAACTAGAGTGAAATGGGCCCAGCTAACCCTTTGTTCAAAATATGACTGTATTGGAGTTTTTTAAAATGCTTCTTCAGTTGTATGTTAATTAAGTTTCTCAATGTTTTTGTCAGCGTTTCTCATCAATTCAACCATATTCACATCTTGAAACAGGACACAAACAGCCTCATCTTATAGACTACTGAGTAGTGGGAAACTAATTTATCATTACATATCAAGTGAGTTCAAGACCTTGCTACCCATTGTGACATTTTGGGAACCAGCTTAATTGCACAGATGGATATTTATGCCACATCAAAAATTTATGATATCTTGGCTGGGATACCGAGAAATCTTATCTCCTTCATGTGACCAGAACCCAACTGATTCAATCAATATGAGGGTAGCTAAAGTTATCTGCTATTACATCATGATATCCTTGTGATGCCTTCCTGATTTCATTTCCCATCTCAAGATCTAATTGAGCATTTTGGAAGGAGGCATGATAGCATATTCCTAGAAGTTGTTTTTACTGGCTAGTATTGTCACTCACTCAGTCTTTTGAAGATTTCTCGCTTGTTTGACATAATGCTCTCCCTAATGTAAAAAGACTTGCTACTTCCAGTACTCTGCCGTATGCATTTTCTGCTTTTACCTTTAGATCTCTTTGATTGGCTTTTGTGTTCTGCTATATGGTTATGACGCATGTTTCCCCAGTGCCCAATAAATCTAGACCTCTTTTACCTACCCCATTATCTCATTCATGTATTAAAACTGCCCACATTCTCTTGACCAGCTGGCTTTCTTTGTGAAATAAGTACCAGTTCAGAAAGTGCTATCTCAGAAGTTGTTACTTTTCACATCCTTTCTAAAAATTCAGTTTTGGCTGTCAGGATCACTTAACTACCATTTTTATGTGCCATGGTTGCTGTGTATCTCAACAACTCACTTATCCCAAATATTATTTATTAGGTTTCTGGTAGACAGCATTGCAGAGACTGAGACACAGAAAATCATTCACACCTAGAACTCTTCTATTTGCTGTGTTGGTACCATTTCTGGTCCTGTCTCTTTGGATGCTTAAACATTTCTTTATTTTTTTTATTTGTGACTCACGGGCTATTCTTTTGGCCTCTCTCTGTTCTTCTAAGTCACCCATCCTTGCCATCAGGGAGCAAACATGCTGCTGAATTGCCAAGAGCTAATTATTCACACCAACAACTTCTAACCATAACTATAAATGAAATGGATAGCCCCACACTTATTTCTGTCTTCATAGTGCTCTCTCGCTCTACATATACTCATTGGCTTATTTGCCTTGAAAAATCAGTTATCTACCAGCAGCAGGCAGGAAAAAGCTTTATACCTCTCTCCCCTCCCCCACCCATTTCCAAACTTGCATGCATACTTTACTCACATGGGTGTAT